AAACCTTTTCACAAAATGATCACACCCCTCATCCTTCGTCGATGTATATAAAAAGTCATTGGTTTGAAATGCATTACAGGTCGAGCATTTACATTATTCTGATATCATTTCTCCATATGACTAGTTCGAAACTAGACAAGATATGCTTATGAACATAAGGCCGATTCTGTTTTAAAGTTTTTACCAAGAGAATTTATGTAAAATGAATCTAATTCCGAGACGGAGATCCACGTATCATTAATTATACGAAAGATATATATCTTGAGGCGAATTTTTTTCTTTTATTATAAAATTATATCCCATATTTTATCATTTATAGATTACAAATATATACAAAACTATGTTGAAATTTTATTTCCATAAACTCTATATGTAAAACAATATCCGTGAAACTTATAAGACAGCATCTCGTAGGTAGATAAGTACGCTACTAGAATTATGAATAAATCTTTGTGAATTTTTTTAACAAAATTTAATATTTTTCTTAAAAAAAAAATTTGCTCTCATTTCTATTATTTAAAAGCATTTTCCATCAGTGGTCGCTAATTCCCCCTTTTATCTTTTAGGCAAAATGTGAATGCTGTGTCTAGAATGCAGCTGAGAACTTTTGGTAAAATTTTTTTATTTTTTTGTCCATTATCATAAGAATGATAACAGATCGAAATTAGTATTTTTGACAAGCAATAAAGTCTAAGAGATACGGGAGGGATGCCGACACATGCCGGTTCACCGCTATCAAACCTTCTTTCTTGAATGATTTTCGCTTATTATACCGAACGTCCGCATGATCGTGTTCGTTCTAGGGAATAGTTGCGTGTGTGTGCTGTGCGACGGCAACCGTGGAAGCATTAAATTCCTTGAGAAACGACAGTGATTAGATTGGTCTACCGGGACGTGTGAATAGTCCAAAGAAAAGTGCGGCTGCAGCCGCGTACTGTATGACAGCACCCGAAGCTGCATAGCTTGATGTAAGTTCTTGCTTGAACAATAAACCAAGAAGTTAAAGGGTATCGACGGGGGTCAGGTTGCCCAAAGGTAGGATTGCTTCAGCAGGAAGTTACACACTACTCATCGGAATGCCGGACGAATGCTTTCTTCGCTGACTGCTTGGGTGCGGTCCTTCGGGGAATATTCGTGGTGGCTGTGGTTGCTCCAAAGTTTCGCGAGGAGCTGTCTAAGGGGTGCTTCTGATAGGCCTCGACATAGACCACTAAACGAGAAAATGGCCCACACCAACTTCCTATTGCTGTACCTCAAAGTAGAGAGGCCCCCTTGAATGGGGATTGGTTTTCTCCCTGGGGGTCCTCAATCTACTGAATTTGATTGTCAATGGTTGTAGGCAACCCGTTTGATTAAGGCTTCACGTCAGGTGCGGACGTTAAACCCCACACAGATATCTGTAACTTTTATATACTATTTTAGCGATCAATAATAAATTTCATCTTATAAAGTCCCCGTCCGATATTGCATTTGTATTAGGCCCTGAAAATTAGAGATTTTAATATGTCCCTTAATGGTGACAGTCCAAAAAAAAAAACAAAAAAAATTAAAGAAATCCAGCTCCGTTGTTGTTGTAAAGTTTTCAATTTAATATTCCGATTATTCGCAGCGAAACGTAGCTGAGTTGTAATGCCGCAAACATTGTGCTCGTAATTTCCCCATTGCAAGCTAAGTACTATTTGCGAAAATCAAAATTTCTTTTCATTATTTGATGATGATTTATGTACTTTGTCGTGTCCGCAATGAGCAGTGCTTTGCAAGATATTTTTGCTGAAAGTTTCTCAACTTGTATTCTTGCTATCGATCTGAACATATATATGTGTATGTATGTATACTATCATAGAGCGGCTACTTATAAGGTCACGGAATAAATTGTAAAAACGAAGAAAATACTTTTTGGGAAAATCGAACATTTTTTCTACTCAGCGATGAAACGGCTTGCTGTGAGCATTTATTTGTGAACATTTTCTTACGCCTTGCATTAAAATTTTTCAAAAACTCTTTGATCCTTTACAAAACTGATCCAATAATTCGTGTTTATGTATTAGTGAATTTTTACATTTTTATAATGTCTGAATGAAAGTTATGTTGATTGAAAGATAGGGTATGTCCAGTAGAAACTCAGCAAATTTCCTTGATTACCCAACCCATCAGAACTGGTGCATCTTTAAAGCTGATATTTATCCAATTTTTATGTTATTTTATAAACTTTGCATTTGTAATTGTTGTTAATGAGAAGTCAAGTGTAGGAAAAACAAAAACAATACATCGCAGACGTACATAGTGATTTCCAAAGAAGACACTTTGCTTTGTAATTGATGAATAATCCTTGAATTGTTTCGTCCAACCTACTTGTATTACAACTGTATAATATGTTTGCGAGGTTGTATGCAACACCCAACCGGACTTGAGTTAGACCGATTACAACCTTTGATTACACCACCTTTGATACCGATTAATCCAGTATCATTTTCTGAAACGATTTAGATATGTCAGTCTGTGTATCCGTCGAGTTTTCTTGCGTTCAATTTACCGACCGTAATTTTTGAGATATTTCAATAAAATTTGATATATTGACGTATTTTAGTCCAAGGACGAATGTTGTTGAAAATGATTCGAATCATATTTTTCCCACCTCCCCTTGTAACAGCTTTATAAATGTTGTACGATATTTTATAGTCGGCCACGGCCCGCTATAATTATTTTATTTATTATTTCACCAAAAAGACAAATTTTTTCGCATTTTATATAGCGTAAGAAGCACGCATACTTTTTCTACAACACTGTATATACGTATACGTACTATATTTAGTTGACTTGAATCAATTGTTTTTATGTTGCATCATATTTTCAGCGTCACATGCAATTTCAGTGCAATAATTTGTAAGAAATTTCATATTAATATATAAAATTTGCATTAATTTGCTTTATTTAAATATATTTGATTGAATTTTGATTTAAAGTAATTTAAAAATCTAAACGATTTCACTTTTAAATCGTTAAACGCGCAATCGTTTTGTACTCTACTGTATAAATAGTCTAAAGATAAACATGCTTTTATTTCTTTATAATAATTCTAAGCGAAAAAAATTAATTCAAAAATTTCTTTATACAAGAAAGAAAATGAAAAACAAACAAACAAACAAACAATTAGTTGTGTATAGTTTTGATGTAATATTATAAAAATTACGTAGTAAAAGTTTAATGTAAAAAAAAAAATAAATAATACACGACTTGGATAAAATGCAATTAAAATTTATTAAACGCAAATAGATGCGAATTAAGGTTAGGGGATAAAAACACAGCTTTGCACAACTCTGCCAAATATTTGTATAAAATTTTAGCTTCAAATACACGCAATAATTTACGGCTTTTACTGTATATCGATGGTAAGATCAATGGTAATTTTTTGATCGAAAGATTTTCCATTCGATAGTAAGAAAAATGCATAATTTATCGAACGCTATTAACGGTCGACACGTTACACGTTACAGTAAATTTATAATCTACAGCCGCCCAGTTAAGTCAGTCGAGTGTGTTTCGTCAATATCGAGAAACACAAGTCGACCGCTAACTAAAAAACGGAATACGAAATCTGTTTTCATAACGCGAGATTATTAAGTTAAAAATATATTTTCTTCTTTTCTGCCTTAACGAAGGATTTAAACGGAAGATGATTTACGCATTGATGGGCGGGAAAAATTCACGCTTATGCAAATTTTTAAAGTTCATAGTGCTAGTAGTATTATTTAAAGTTGATAATGCTATGACAATATTCTTACTCTCAACCATCAGGGGAGTATATGCAAGTGTATGATCAGAAAGCTAAGGATTTGGACTTTGAAAGGCCGATTTAAGAGTCAAATGTTCATTGCTCAAGTCTCTTTTGACATGGCTTGCTTAGTATATAGTGCTGCAGCTTCAACTACTGTTCCATGTTATGCACAATTTGGTCAATTTGCGTTCATTGCAAAGGTCTTAGTAAGAAAATAATTTTAATTAACCTCACACCTTACTATTATAAAGTGTGTGGGTGATCTCGAATTGAATGCATTTGCGGCAACTTTCCATTGTTCACATTGTTGACCACAAGAACGCGATAATTGAAAAACGAAAGCTGCAGGTTAATAACTCGTGGCGCAATCGTATCATATGCAAAAAAAATCGTATCACATGTCGAGGAAAAAGGTTAATTTTATTCATAAAAGCGTCCTGAGCGACAAGATTTACTGTATTTCTTCAATAATTTTTGCCATGCCCCGAAATTCCGTAATGCTGGCAGTATATTTTTTGGAGCATGGAACGAAGATGAAAATATTCAGCGACAATGAACAATGTTCAGAGAATGTTCTACAGATTGATGGCAAATCAGACGAACAGACATCGCTAGGATAAACTGAGATAAAAGCCGTTCCTAATTTGTTTAATTTGTTAAATATAATATAATGAAACTGATTTTTAATGATATATGTACGTAAGATTTTTTACAAATGAAATCATTGCATTAACATAGGATTTCAATGTTTGACGTTATACGCGCCGTACGGGGTATAGAGCAAAAGGAAGAGCGGAAAAAGAATACATGCGAAATATTTTCATATTTCATTATAAAAAAGCAACAACAAACTGAACATAATATGAAAAACGAATGCAGACATTAGTTGTGGATTTGTGCTTGCTATACATACGTTTATGAAGCATGAATGTGTAACTTTTGTGTGTGTGTGTGTGTGTGTGTGTGTGTGTGTATTGAAATTGTAATGGAATGCATAAGCAAAAAAAGTGTGTTAAATAAAAAAATATGTGATATTTTTATAAATATTTCGCTTGTTATTACTATAGCTTTTTTACTTCTTTTTTTCATCGGTTATGACATCACAAATAATGCATTAAAGAAAAAAAAAAAAAAAACAAAAAACAAAACATAAACAGTTTTCTGCGGATTTTTTGTTTTCTTTTAATTTTTATTTTAAGCCAAACAAATTAATTTAGATACGTACGATCTGTCAATCAAGATAGAGGCCTCCTGCTCTTTAAACCTGAAAGGGTTACAATAATAATAATAGTAATAATAATAATAATAATAATAATAGTAGTAACAATAGTAATAATCAATTATAGTCAAAGACATTTTAATCGATTGTTTTAAATGCATTTCTGTCTACTTAGCGTTACAAAGCGTTAAATTCATTTAAAAACTTATAAATTTGAATAGCAGCGGACATAACACACAATGAATAAACATAATAATGAAATTTACATATGTCATTACTTGGGACTTTGATCATTTAGGGAGGGTGTGCATACGTCTATGGATCTTATACATTAGGTGGACTTTGGACAATAAGCCTTCAAAAGCAGGGTCACGTGAGCGCTTAGGTTAATTATAATAAGGTTTTTTTTTTTTTTTTTTTTTTAATAAATCCTAACTATACTCACCAGCATAGCATATAATAACTTTTTTATTTCGTATATAAGAACGAGTGATATGCTTCAAATACTTTTCAAGTACATATATATATATATATATATATATACCTGATGAAATTTTTCATTTATTTTCGTGATAAGTTATGAAGAATTATAATTTGCCTCTGCATGTAAACGCGTGCCTTTCACGCCAAACCTTTCTGACTAATTCCCGGAAATTCCGGGGATTTAACGGCGGGAAAGGAAAGAGAGAAAGATGGGAAGCATATGGCTATAAGTAAACTTCCTCCACCGTATTAAGATTTGAACTTGTGAATATTGTGGTGGCTTGGTACTCATAATTCTTATCTATTCGGGTTACTCAGGCGGACAATATGTGAAGGCGACCATCACGCGAATTGACATGGCCGGAATTTGGTAAAACTGATTTTCTTGCTTAAGATATTCTTATCGTTGATTTATTTTCGCCATAGAGTATAAAGAATTACAGTTTTTTTGATCGCTATATAAAGGACTTACTTTTTATGAGTGTCCCTATAGGGGATGGAATCAAAAAAAAAGTAGACCTACGTCGTCCAAGTTTCGTGCAATTAATTTTTGTGTCAAATTACTTTTATGGACTAGTTTTAAGCATAAGGAAACTAGATATTATTATATCGCTCTGCCGTCTAAAGACTTTCTTTCCATTGGAAAGCTTATGGGTTTTGAAAATTGCTAAATTTTTTTTTCATAACAAATTTTTTAAACTAAGGTGTAAAACGGAAATGATCCCAAAATTGATTCGATTCAATATGTTTGCTATGGGTTTCGTCTCTGGGTCAAAAGATATCCGTATGCTACATAGTTAGACAAATGTAAATAGATTCAGAAAATGATTCTGAAATGATCGGTATAAGTATTCTACATACATCCGCACAAGCTTTATGCATCTCGTATCTCGTATCGAGCAATGTAGAGTGTAAGAAAACATTGCAGCCAGATGTGAAGGTTTATCGTTTAGATTACCTTTTCGGGCCTTTTGCCATGTCTATCTGCTTCATAGTAGTGATATTTAGAATTTTTTAGTCTCTATCCAGGGGTAGGGATAAAAACACTTGGATGTGCGAAAATTGTTCATTTGAATTTTGTAAGTGTGACATGAGAGAGGAAAAATTTTGTGAAAACTTTGATCTCTTCGACACGATTACGTCGATGAATACAATTTTGATACTATAAGGTTGGAAATATATTGAAGAATGAATCGAAAATTTTTTTAGAAAAACATAAGACGTTCAACCTTAAATTTGGGGGTTTTTTTCGTGGTCGGCTTTGTGAAATTATATTTTAGAGCTTAAAAGTGATTGTCTTCTTGGTGGATGAGTGAACAACATGAATAACCCGAACGTATTACCCTTAGTGTATATTTTAAATAACCACTATCTCATGCGTTGACAACCAGCGTTGAAAGCTAATTCCAGACTATCATATTCGCTCTAATGTCTACCTTGTCGTTAAATTTGATCTGTGAAATTGACTCTTTATTCACCAGATTTTTGGTAAATTTTAAATATTCGCAAAATTCATATAGGCGGACAGAGAGGAGTTAGACAAATTTATACCGTACTTATGTGCACATATAAATTATATATGCGATGCAATTGTCTGAACATTGTAAAGAGAACGGACGATCGAATTCCGGCAAATGCATCATTATAGAGATAATAGAATTTTTTCATAGAAGTGATTCATTTTTCTTTGCTTCAAATTAACGATAGAGCAATGCGTTCGCAAAATTTGCAAATAATCCAAATTAATTATAAAAATTTGTGTTACGTCGCATAAGTTGCCTTAATAGATGAACAATTGTTGTCGTTTAGATAACGATGCAACGGCATGTGCAAATCGTTACCTTTGGCATTAAATTCAAAGAAGGAAGGAATTAAGTTATACTTGGGAACAAAATGAAAGTGAATTCGGAGCTTTGAAGATTTACGCGAGAGTCAAACTTATATCGATTTCTTCGGTGAAATCAATCGGTTCTTAGTGCTTTGCGCTTACGGACTGTCGAAGATTGGTTATTTAGTGCGTGGTCACAATTGTTCTTTGTTTTTGGTTTTTTTTTTTTGTTTTTTTTTTTTATGGACTTTTTATGTCAATTATATCGCTTTTCCACCGCTTGAACATTTTGAATGAACGTTTTATTGATAAGGCAGTCAACATGGTGTATGCCAGTCGAAAAGCTCGACTTGTTAAGAAGATAGATAGTCCTCAATAGGTTAATTCTTTCTCGGAGATAGAGACTGGAATAATTCTTTTTTTTTTTTTTTTTTTTTTTTGCAACAGTCATGAAGCCACAAGAAAGGGGTCAGTGAAGCGTAACTGGGTTTTTCATTTGTTTTCTTTTTTTTTTTTTGTTTTGATAGTTTTTGTGATGGGATTTCTAAAAAAATTAAAACTATTTGCATTACCTCATGTTTTACTAATAATTGCAGTTATTTAAATATTGATATTTAAACCTTTCGTGTAGATAAAAAGAGTACAAATCAGACACATTGCCGAAATGCATTGTATTAAAGTTGCATGTTTTAGGCTAAAAGTAAAACAATGAAGATCGTGTATGCGCGTGTGCCAGTAACAATGAAAATAGAATATGATTTTTTATTTTTTTTTATTTTTATTTTTTTTTTTAATTATTATAATTATTATTCACATACGCGGCAGTACATAGAATACAATGGATACTTATTCTATAATTTAAACCGTAAAATATGTAATATCTGCGTTGCTTTATAGCGCATAAAAAATAATCTCCGTCTGCAGAACAATGACAAATGGTCGCCACAGATAAATAAGGAAATAAAGGGGGTCATTACAAAAAGACATATACATATATATATATATATATATATATGTATATATGTGTGTATATATGCACATTTAAATAAATATATAAAGTCACGCATAAGAAACACACACACACACAAGCGTGCATATGCATGTGATTGTGCGTACGCATTCTCGCCATTGCAAAGGCACACACATACAAATCATTGGTTTCACTTATATTATTTATTAAATTTGTTTATATATACATTTAATGCACAATGCGACAAATGGTCTGAGCGATATTTTTGCAATTGATGATTTTGAGTTGGTTTACATTCTCTCATCTTTTCATTGTACGGACTATGCAAGAGTAAACAGGCAACAAGCCTACGTATAACCAAACAAAAAAAAAAAAAAAGATGATTTTTCTTTTATAATATTTTATTTTATTTTATTTATTTTTATTTTATTTATATTGACAAACACACAATGACCGGGCACAACAATGGTGTCAACAACAGATTAATTAATAACTACACATGAATTGTAAATCGATTATGGTGGGAAGGTAAGAGAAAGCAATTTTTTTTTTTTTTCACATTTTTTCTTAAATCTTCCTAACGGATTTTGTTGTTGTAAGAGATGATAACGTCACTTTAAGTGCAATCCTGCTTTAAGTTAAAAGTAATCAAAAGTCCTGATTAATTATTTATGAATGTATGGCGTGTATGAACGTGTATGAACCGTTACGTAAAAGGAACTCAATGTCCATCATACGCAAATAAGGATTTAATTGACAGGACACGTTTCGTAAATCGATTTTTAAATCCAGACTGCTGGTTCTGTTGATCATTAAATTCTCTTTGTTTTTTTTATTTTTGTTTTTATGCACACAAAGTATCCGAAAAATAAAAAAAAATAAAAAAATTCCTTTTAATAATTAATAAAGTAAATCTAGTCGAGCAAAAAAAAGTTTGCATTTACAACTGTAATTACTTGTGCATTAATTCCGTATTTCGGTCCGTGCAAAATTTATGTCAAATCAAAATTTGACTTTATATTAAAAAGGGGAGAAATAGGTTTTTTTCTCTATGAAATATTGAAACTCTAAACGGTAACATTACAGGCGAACTTTTTTATTATTACATAATATTTACCATTTTGCCTAGTTCTCGTTGATCACTAGCGAAGGCCGGCAACAATGCGACTTGAAACTTCTTCACTAATTCTTTCTTAAGCGCATACACACAAGCATACATACATACATACATACATGTATATATATATATATATATATATATATATATACACACACACACACACATACACATACAAACACACATACACACTACGTGGGTTGAAAGCTGCTGCCATAAAGGCGTCTTTGGCGAGAATTATGCCAAACACTAGAGGACCGAAAATCGCCAATAGGAAAATAATAGTCACGATAATAACTTCGGTCTTGATGCATGCAAGTGCAGTTTAGGTGTGGGCTCTCATCGTGAATGCCGCCTGCCGAAAGCTGGCCGCAATATATCATCTTAGCGCGCTAAGGCCGATATGCGGATACCGAACAATGTCGAAGAATGCCGTCCTTGTGATCGTAGGGGTCATTCCAAATGATATTTTGGCGAATGAAATGAGGCGCACTCACAAATGGGTTCGCATCAACGACCGCTCTCAGAGAGCCATAAAGAAAGACGAGCGTCTAGTGTCGGTGAGGATTTGGCTGTCACGACGGGAAAGGACAACCAAAAAAATATGGACGTTCGATCTTATCTCAGACATAACGCATTGGACCGAAAGATTGCGCGATAAGGTAAATTATTATCTCGCTCAGTTTCTGATTGTAACTGTACAAGTTGGGGTAAGACAAGTTGCCAAAATACCCGAAATATTCGAAAGGAACCGGAGATGCTGAGCATTCTATAAATCGCTGCAAAAGGTTTACGAATGGTAGACCCCAAGTAGTACCCAATAAGATATTGCAGGTGATAAGTGGCACTGGAGCGCCATGGACGAGTCCGTAAGTAGAGTGCTCCAGAGACAGTGCTTAGAGAGACAGTGCGTGCAGAGCAGAGGGAGTGGAAGTCAATAGTGCATTTCACTGATGTCTCACCATAGGAAGCGCGCTAATTGCGGAGGCTGATCTCCGCGAAGTAATATCTGCCCGGTCTTGCAGAGGACGGTGGTAGACGAAGTGTGTGTGGGGGCTAGTCTTAGCACGTAGACGCCATGGACGCGAATCCGGCAAGCTGTTGGAGCGAAGCAACATACACACACCCACACACATACACACGTGTAGATGCAACTTTTTTGGTTGTCTCGTAAAGCATTTTTTCTATCATGCGGAAGAACAAGTACCAGCTGAATAGTCTGAAAAAATTGACCCTGAAATGAAGCGGGCAACACGGTTCTTCATTTATTTTTGTGACATAATAGCAAAAGTTATATTTCGTTTCCACGTAAAACTATATGCTCCATGAGAATCATTATCTGTGGAGGGGAGAAAAAATTTATCTATCTAATCTGAATTTGCTATATTTAATTCCTTTTTCAAATTGTTATTAGGACCACGTTTTCATTATAAAATATGAAAAATTAGATTCGTTTCTAAAGTCAAGGCTTACTTTTCGTAAGAACTCTCATATTGGTGGGATCGTGAAACATAGATCTATGTTGTCTAAATGTGTTATCGTATATTTTTATATCAAATTGGATTAAAAAAGTGATTCTGAATCGATTCATACAATAAAAGATAGGTCGGCCTTGTGTCCACTTGGATGTCAAATAAATTTGCATAAACAATCGGGGAAGTTTAACTCTCACAGGTCACAGGTAATATCAGAACATGGTTTAATCGCTTTACCATAATCCGTTGTTAGTATCAAGTGATTTATATTAAAGAAATGAAAATTGAAGGACATCGAGACGGCTAAGCATCGATCAGCGTATTATTATTCTTAACATTTGACAAAGCGTATTAAAGCTCGTTTAAGTGAAAATGTGTAAGCAAGATGGAGAAAGAGAAGGCCGACGGGAGAGATTAATTGGTGTCAAAAGTAGCAACATATGCAAAAAGCTTATGAACGCTTAAGTGGTGTCTTGAGAAGCATAATCACACTACATAAGAGTGTTCTGTTCTGTTGTACTTTAGCAGTGCACAAAGAATCTCATCGAACACGCATACACAACACATAACATAACGGATGCTTTGCTTTTGGTTGACTATTCGGGTATGTAAACAGTATGTTTACTTAGATGACTAGAGGTCAAAGTGTTATATATGTGAGTAAAATATAGACATAGAGATGTGTGTGCATGTTAATTGACATCCATATGCACTTTGGCACGTAAACTTGATGGGAGGCTGCAAACAATTGCATAAGACACTTTTCGCTTTAATAAAGTGGCATTTTAATTTTCGACAAACACATATACATACGGACACATATATATATATATATATATGTGGATTTATTAATATTTAAATAACGTAAAGATGATGTTATGACTTTAATACAAGTCAATATTTGAAAGATGTGTGAGATACTTTTTCCCCTATTACGAAATCGCGTATTTACCGGTTACGCATGAAGTGGGTTCGTTTGCAGTTAAGTTTTGTAAAAACTTTGAAATTACGCATAACTTGTTCTGTCTTAAACATGTACTTAAATTAAAAAGGAAAAAATTCTTTTTTTTTTTTTTTTTTTTTTTTTTTTTTTTGCTATTCATTCGCTCGAATTGCTCTATGATTTCTTCTCATCTCACGTTAGATGAACAGGAACTGAAAGCAATTTTCTATATATTATTACATGTATGAAAGGAAATGTATACGCGTATGTGCTTGCATACATTTGCATGTTTCAATAGTAGACGTTCAATTTTCATGTATCATTATTTCTGTTAGTAAAATAAATCTCAATTCTTTACACGGTTCCTTTTCAAAATCTCCTCCACTAGCTGAGATATCACAGTTTTCTTTAAAAAAAAAAAAAAAAAAATCAATCCGATACTCTTTTGCTTTTGTCATTCTATGATGAATATCGTTTAACCCATTGAAGACCATAACGAACTTTCTTCCAATTTTTTTGGAATTACCTAGTTAACCTTATCCTAGGTTAATACCGCTGTTCTATTAGTTTTTATTTGTCGAAAAATTATCTAAAAAACTAACTACAATGCCAGTTGAAATGATGCAATCAAAAGAATGATATATAGTTTGTTAGTTACTCGCCGGATCGAAAAGAAATTCAAAGTCAATTGGTTAAATGGTTTTTGGCATGAACCTAGTCATGATAACTGTAAACTGTACATGAAATACTAAGTAAAGTTTTTATTGACTTTCAAACAACTCTTGAGTTTCGAGTCCTAGAATCGACAGACAGACATGAAAAATCTATTTCGCTATTCAGTTTGATCAAGATTACAATAACTTTGACAACTTAAATCTATCTCATTTGATGATCGAGAAAGTAACTAAGGCGGCTCTTACGCAAAAATCCATATTTCATGAAAATGCTTCTGACGGATTTAAGTCTAATTATTTACTTTATCTATTGTGCGCCTATTTAGCAATGCTTTTCAGTTTACAAGTTTGACAGGCTAATTTGATTTAGCACATTTAACGTATTGAAGATTGAAGAGTGAGGCTTGTTGTTGTAATCACAAATGCCTCTAAAGATTTCATAAAGTAGGACAGTCGAACTGTTAAATTTTGAAAGTAAAAAAAAAAAACAAGAATCTAATAAGTAAAAATTTATTTATTCTCATCATGTCAAGGTACGGTTAAGCGATTTCCTCTGTTTCGCGATCGATCAAGGAAATCAAGCGAAATCGATAAATAATCTAGATTTGATTGAACCAATTCAAAATCTCCAATTATTCGAAACTGTACAAAATAATTTAATGCCATGCCCGATGACCATTGCCGAATGGCGAATTACATTGCAAGGCGAGTGAAGCAAAATTTATATGCTCCGTCTTTTAGCAAAATGAAATGTTTCTTCAAATATGTTCGCATCTTAGTAGGAGAATGAAACGCGAAGAGCTATCTAGCGAATGCAATTTATAATAAATCAATTCTTTGATTATTTTGGTTTTTTAAGCGCACTTTAAATAGAACTAAAATTTATAGGGGATATTACAAATAAAGCTTGCTGGGTTCAAGGCCATTTTAGGAAAACAAAAGGCATACATTTAAACGGTGTGAGAAGTGATAGAGAGCGAGAGAGAGAGAGAGAGAGAGAGAGAGACAAAAAGAGAGTGAGTGAAAGAGAAAGAGTGAGAGAGAGGAACGTTGGTGTAGAGAGTAGTATGAAAAAAAATAAATAAAAATTAAATGTAAAAAAGCGTTCAAAAATTAAATATTTTAAAATAGTGAAAGCGAGTGCTAAGCATTTTCAAATATATAGGTAGATATATATATATATATATATATATATATATGCATATATATGTAAATATTGTTGAGGAAACTTACCTTTCGCTAGCAATGCTTGAATTGCGGGACATAGATTTTGGTGACATTTCAAAATCTGAATCGGAACGATATAGAAACGATTCGCGACGTTGCGGAAGATTTTGCAATACCAAACCGGCGCTTGGTGAGCCGCCTTCAAGCGGAGATCTTGCAGTTTGGCCATTTTCTACATCGAAACTAAAAGTAAACAAAGACAAGAAACAAAAAAGTAAAAAAAACCATTAAAAAAAATTTAAAACGAATTCGTGTTTTTTTTTTTTTTTCTGTTAGCAAGCATTTGAATAACATTAGAGAAAATAATCTTATTATAGCATATTTGAACATTTTCTTCCATTTTCCTTACGTTGAAATTATTTTATAGGAATAAAATTGTATTAAGTTTGTCGTGTCGGTTGATACTTTAACATATATACACTTTCAGTGATATATTTCCATTAGACATCATTTGCTTTTATTTCGCTCAAGAGAATGTTCGTTAGAAGATTCTATATAAATTACATACATACGTGTATATATATATATTCATGTCATCCCTATTTAAGAAACATGAAAAAAGATAAATAAGAAATAAAAGTGTAACACACATATGCAATACTATATAAGACTCGTATGTCACACAACCATATTATTTGATTTTCTTAGAGCTCAGTTCATATCAAGTTTTACGTTTGTATGATTATTCTTTAAGGAAGATGTCATGCTTTCTCTTAAACATTAATTTAAATTTGACAGAATACAGTTAAGAGCCTTAAGGACTGCAATGTAAACCTGTACGTGATTTACAGTTGCGAAGTGTATTAAGTTAAGCCTAGAAACCGATTCAAACATTAAACGAAAGGAGTTAAAATAATGCTATGCTATATTGTATTGAGTTTAGTGATTTAAACTATAATTTGCTTTAATGTTGCGCACATTTTCATTGAATATTTCAAACTTTTTTCATCATGAAACTTGATAGAAGATATAGACAGAAAGAACAACTTATTTTGGGTGAAAAGAATCTAAACGTGAAAGTCTTTCTTTTTTTTTTTTGTTTGTTTATTCATATTTAGTACGGATGGATATAGATATACATGCACGAAACATTTTCCGAAATTCTTTCAGGACAAATCTCTCGATATTTAACATAAGTATTTCAAGTTGAGTTTCTTCCATTCATATTTATTCCACGATATAGTTTATCGACTCCGGCGGAGATAATCCTTCTTTAATATAATAAAGCGCTGAAAAGTGATTCGCTATTTTTGTAAAAGCTGCTATTCGCTTAAACTATATGTGGAATAGTGGAATGCGCGTGCAGCGTCTTCAACGATAATATCTCGAATTAAACTACATTTTTATCGAGCAGATAGCTGTATTTATCTCATTTGGCGTTTGGTGTAAGGGGTTTGCGAGCGAACGTTTTTATCAACCCGGATAGCGTGGAAAGACTATACTTGTCAACTTGTTGTTGTACGATGAGTAAAAAATGAAGAAAGTATACGATATTGCTCAGTTGCGTTTGTATAGGTGTCGTGGCGAACATAATATGAGAACACGCCATTTATCGGTCTCCGACAGTTAGATGAGAATCTGCGCCTTCCACCGAGTCAAACACTCGCTTGTAATCCAACTCCATACTAGACAGGCACTTTTACCGCCGCACGCGCAGAAAAGTTGTTGCCGTTATTAGGACCAAAGAAAAAACAGTTGTGCGGAGGTGCCAATACCCACGGTATTAGAAAGAAAACAAAATCTCTAGTCAGACTTAATTAGATCCCACAAGACCTAGAAGTAGACACCCGGTTATGAGATAAGAAAATTGCCGAGGATGCTGCAGTAGATGTCACATAGATTATGCACATAGACACAATATTCTCTTCACTTCATAGTGTGGCGTATATTTCTATCTTTTCCATTCAGACACCGGAAAACGGAGCCCTTATATTTAGAAAGACTTGATTTTTTAGGACAACCCATCGATGAGATATTGAATAATGGTTTCCTATAATTAGCCGTCACTCAAAGTTGCGTGCACCAAAGTGACTACTGTGCCGTGGAATAATGATTAAGTCGCTCGTATTCACTATGTCAAATCGGGAAAATGTAGCAGAAAGAGATACGGTATACATCTTTTTAACGCCAGCAAGATTCCGGTTAAGAGGTACCTTAAATTCAAATTTGCATGCGAATGCAATTCTTAAGCGAATGCTTCATGCAAAATGTTTTTTAAGCATCCATCGCACTCGTACACTCGACCGTTTCGCACTTTCCGACAGTTACTTATTCCGTAATTTGCAGAATGGAATATTAAAACAAACTTAAAAACGCTGATGGCAAATTAGCGCCTATTTTGCTTGGAAAAATGCAGTTTGCTTTTTTTAAAACATCTTAAGGACACAATTTACGAAAGTGCTTTAAACAAGAGAAGTTATTATTAAACGTTTTTTTTTTTTTTTTTTTTAAAAAAATTTTTTTTTTATTTTTCTTTTTCTTTATCCATTTTTCCTTTTTCCTTTTTAATCTGACTCTATGTTATGAATTTTATTCAGTTGTAAGTACTATCTTGAGTGGTAAGGCGTCCTGGAAATTTCTCATAATTGCACTCTATATCACTTATGGTACAGGGCGTATTAAATTTGGGTGGACGTATGTAGCACCCAGAAGGGCTTAAGAAAGGCCGACTTCTTACTACGTCCATGTAAGCTTGTCTATCTGTCTATATGTCTGTCTGTCTGTCTGTCTGTCTGTCTGTCTGATATCTGTCCATCTAATTTGTGTTTAATCCGTAAGTCGTAGACGAAATTTGGTACGTTGCCGTGTTTTGACCCATCGACGAAAATCTATTAAAAATAGTCCGGAGCGAGTCATTTTTTCTTAGTTAGTAAGAAAAATTTAGTTCGGCTGAGGCAATTTTTTTGAACAACCCCTCATATAACTGTCCCTATGAAAACTGAATATGTATACGGTAAGAAGGTCTAATCTACAATAATTAATGGTGAAAATTTGTTCATAATAGGTATTAGGTAATAGGCAAAGGACAAGGAAATCAACAACATGGATATAATTTTTGAATATCATCGCATATAAGAATTGTTAGGCAATGTAAACGCTTGTATGTTAAAAAGGCGTAAATGTGTTTATGATAGTAATTTGACATGAAAACTAAATGGAACAAATTTGGACCACACGGGTCTATTGCTTAAACTAATTGCTTCAGAAAAAGGCTTAATTTTTCATATTTTATGTTTGGTAATAGTAGTAATTTCGCAAAAAAAAAAATTTTAACGGCAGGGAATTCGCATTACATAGGTCTATCTTTTCCAATTTAAGATATATAGTAGCCACCATGAATAGCTAGTCCCTATATGGATAGAAAGTCTAACTTCATAGTTTGCTATGACGGAAATTGAAAAAATAGTAAAATTTATAAGAAGTAATAAACTAAGTTTGTTAAATTTGTATCACATCATACGATGCTTTGGGCATGGCCCATATATGAGGCTTTTCATGTAAAGGGTATCTTTGCGTGATAATAATGGGCAATTTTTGTTGTCTTATTACCAAATCGAGTGAATTTATTGTAACTTGGATAATTGGTGTAGGGTATTTATTTATGGATCGGCCTTGCCCGTTTATAAAGTTCTCACTTGTTTTTAGATTATATTATTGTAATAAGCTGTATTGTATTTCTTCAGAATTCTCCGAGAATCTATTCTATACTAGAAAATGCGTAGTCGCCGGCGAAGTGTCGACAAATATTTTGAACGGTGAATCCATTGTGCAACTCATCATGATATATTGCAATTATAGAAAATTAAGTTTGCTTTTTAAATCGGAAATTTATTCCTTTCTTTATTTATCCTTAGATTCTGGTTTTCAAAGGTTTTTGTAATAACCTTTGTTTAATGACAGGCGAAATTAATTTTTCTGATTTATTTCGCAGAATCAAACACTGCTGGTAGTTACATACATATATATATATATATGTGCAAAGCAACAAAACAACAGGGTGGACATGGAATTATGAAGAACCTCGTTTCACGATGCGTTGTATATATATATATATATATATATATATATATATATATGATGAACATGGAATTATGAAGAACCTCGTTTCACGATGAGTTTTATATATGTATATCTATATATATTCTTCTTCATAATTGCCATGTCCATCCTATCCATCCTATTGTTTTGTTTTTGCAATTACATTTTCTTCTGATAAAAAAAGATTAAGTCTAACTATATAGTTGATGGCTTATCTTGCGTAGTTGGGTTTGAATATGAAAACTGCTGCTCATTAACTTACTCCTTACATTTGTACACTTCGTGTGCATATACAGAGGGGTTAGCTTAAGACATTTTCGACTTAAGACTTGTCGCAATTATCCAAAACAGTGTTTATATTTAATTCTCACATTTTTCAAATTTCAAATGTTCTCATCATATGCGAATACGTTGACAATGTCCCTTTTTTTCCCAACCTTGTTTAAAGTACTTCACTCAGCCAACGACATATTCAGTTGCGAGTGTTTTATGGTGTAATTTATTTCAAAAAAAAAAAAAAAAAAAAACATACACTTATGTGCGGTAGGCAGTAAGTAGTGTTCGCATTTAGATATAATTACTGTATCTGCATATACTCTCAATCTCGTATAAATATTAAAAAGTCGGGGCCGCTCAATCTTTGTCAACATCCTTTTTCCGGCTTTATATATAATTGAAATTTTCATCAAACTAATGTCATGTTAAAGCATACGTACATGCATGCACATGCATACGTGATAATGTAACTGCCCTTAGGTCTTGTCCTTGTATGTATTTATGAAAAAATTGCAATGCAGTTCTATGAAGTGAGAGAATAGTTTTTATTTTTCACTTTTAAAGATATCTTCGCACCAAATATGCTAAAAATGTTACGAATATTGTTTTAAGCGTTCGCTGCTTTTGCTGGCGCGAATTTTTACAGGAAATGTGCTAATTTTTTTTTTAATTATTTATTTATTTTTTTTTTTTATTTAAAAAAAATAGTTTTTTTTTTTGAAATTATAAATACCTTTCTAATAAAATATATGTATGTATGTATGTGTGTATGCATATATATATATGTATTTATGTATATATAAATTATGAAATTTTTTTCTTTGCTATTGCTTATATAGTTCGAAAGTTAATGCTTGAAAAATATTTAA